TCTAGGCTGCGAAGAATGTGCTGGGCCCTGTGGTCTATAAGTGCATCTTCAGTTCACTGTCCATGGCCAGACTACTCTACAGAGTGGATTATTTCTAACGTCCCCACGGGCAGTGTCTGAGAGTTCCCATTCCTGCTCCTCCTAGCCATCACGGGGTGGGGTGTTCACGGAGCACTACAAAGCAGTTAAAAGGAATGAAGGAATGTTCTAGCTCTACCAACATCAACACGGAGAGATCTCCAGAACATACTGGTGAATGGAGAAAGGCAAGTGGCAGAGTATGATGGGATTGTGGGGGAATTCACTTCTATCCGTAATATTTTATTTCTTTGATTAAAAAAACATACTTGAAGGGAATAAAGCGAAATAGTGACAAATATCAATTCTAAGTGAGAAGGAAATGAGAGTATTTGATATACTGTTCTCAAGACTTTTGTATTTTTTAAAAAATCCTCAATTAAAAGGGGGACCTGATATGCAGAGATTCCTAAGATATATTAGATAACCGATTTTTTTGAGCAGCTCCAAATGTGGACTCCCTTCTCCCCGGGCAGAGGTTCCTATTAGTGGAGCCAGCGAGCTTTCCCTTCTGAACATTGTTTTAAAGTAGATAAAATATCAAGGAATTTTGGAAGTTCTTATTTTTAGCCAGTAAAGTGAAAAATTTCCACAGCATATAAAATAAGCATTCGAGTCGAAGCTTGCCTGGTTTGTTCCACCTAACTACAATGGCGCCGAAAAATCTTTGCAAGGCTATTCTGGGCCTGGGGTGGGGGAGGTGACTCACTGTGCAGTTTATTCGGGTGAAATCAGATTAGAATGAACATCAATGGTGGCTTTGGACGGGAAGAGAAGTCAGAGACTCCAAGAGACCTGAGAGACTGCCTTAGACCAGGGATGATGACAGTCATGTGGGTGACGTGCTGGCTTCTTAATGGGAGTCAAACACCACTTACTGAGCACCCATTTTCCAGAACAGCACTGGTTTTCACAGGCCTTCCCCTGTTTTCCAGTAAAGGAAGCATTTAGAGCGAGCATTTGCAGTATTTTTTTATGCTCTCTTTTTGATAAACATAAAAATCTCACGTTATCTGAAAAGTTAAATGAAAGTATGTGAATTAAAGCAGATCAGATATGCCCCATATGTGGTTGAGACTCTCTGCTCTAGACCAAAGCGCCAGTACTGCCCTGAAACTCCCAAGTTTTGGGCAAATCTGGATTTGAAGCCTGACCTGACCACTCACAGGCTGTGGGCCTCAAGTGGACTTGCTATCTCTCAGCTTCTATCCCCTTCTTTGGAAAGGTAATTATGACACCTGCCACCTGGGGCTGCTTTGCAGATTCCATGAGACACTTAGTATCACTGCCTGTTACTTAAAAGAAACAAAAAACCTGAAAACTTTAATCTGAATAATAGCTTTGGTCAGTAGTCTAACCCCTCCCCATTTTATAGATGAGAATACTGAGGCCCAGACACACAGTTCAGCAAGTTACTGAACCTCACTGCAGAACAGGGCTAACCTCCAGGTCTTGTGTGTCCAGGCCAGGCTCATTTCACTGTGCCAGCTCTGGCCGAGTGTCTGCAGGTGAGCAGTAGATCTAAAGTCACCTTTTCCCCTGCCTGAGTCTCTGAGCCCCCCAAAACAGTGTCCAGAGCGAGCTGGTTCCCATGGCTCCCCAGGACCCCTGGATCTAGTTTCCTTAGCATTAGTTGAGTGAGTACGGTATTAACCAGCTCTTGCGTGATCTGTCAACTGGGCTGTAAGCTTTATTTTAGAGAAGACACCAAGTCTCCTGGTCTTTCTCAACAAGCCACTGGCCTCAGAGAAACAGGCTGTATTCCACGTGAGAGACTTTTAATGGAGACCTTCACTGCATTATCTCATTTCAGCTTTCACCATCCAACTTTTTACCAGCATCACACACACACACACACATACACACGAAGAAACTAAACAGACCTCACTATCTGTTCCCCTGTTACCTTTGTGCCCCTTCTCAAGTGGCTGAATCTCTCAGCCTCGGGTCCCTCACCCATAACGTGAGGACATTAATATTGGCCCTGAGTATTCTATGGGTCAAAATAAACCACGCTGCGTGGGAAAAGCTTTGTAAACTGAAGGCAGTTTTCCTCTCTGACTGTCTCCTACCATCCATTCCTTCCTCAAATGAGCGGGAGGACATGTCTTCTGTTCTTTTACTGCATTTCTCAGCAGACCAGCCCAGCTGCCTCAGCTGAGAGGAAACCAAACGGGCCCACATTGACTGAAGGAGGAAGAAACAGTGCATCCAGGCTGAAGAATTCACTGAGCTCTAACACTTGTTAGGTGAATCTCTATTTATTGGGTTCTAAGCTAAATTCATTCTGGGAGACCTAGAATCTTCTCTCTTACCAGTTTCCAGCAATTAAATCATGGTCAATTACTTCATGTATCTGAACCTCAGTTTCCTTGTTTTAAACAGTGTGCTAATACTTGCCTTACTGGGTTATTGTGTCAAATGAGGACATGTTCTGGTAGGCAGTCAAAGCATGTGACTTTTTCCTCTTCCCTTTTTACTTTCTCTTCCTTCTGTTTACCCTGCCAAACCTCTGTGCCTCAGCTTGCTTTTCCATGAAACTGGGATAATAATACCTGGCCTACTTAGCTCAGAGGGTTGTAGTCTGACTACGGAACAAGGCTGGCTTTGAGAACGGTGACATGTAGTATAAATACCTGTATGGAGTTATTCTCGGAACCGTTGACCTTGAACTGATGAGTGTGCTGGTCCTCACAGCCTGAGCTGTGCTGTGCAGTGGCCACATTTAGAAGGTCACTTAACACGGCTCCTCTTCCTGAGGCCCCTGATGCTCTCACATCTACCTGTGATGCTTTGCAGCCTCCTAACACCTGTCACTCACCTGCCTCGCCCCATCTGTCTCTCTGTCCCCCTCTGGACCACAAGGCACAGGACCACCCACCCACTGCTCTCTGGATGCAAAAACGGTGCCTGCCCCAATTCTGCAGGCTGTCAGAAGCTGCCTGTCTCATACTGCCCCCCCCCACCCCCCACCACCATGCCGCTTACCCTCATGAATAAACACTTAAAAGACTCCTTACGGGGAGATAAGGAAAACAGGAAGTGCTCCCCAAAGCCACCCAGGACCTACAGTGTGAACAACCCATCCCCTCCAGAGGCCACCAGCGACTTTAGCAATGAGGCCACCAGCCCTCTCTGTGGTTGAGGAAGAGCCTGGGCGTCTTGGCCCCAGAGGGGAACTTCGGCATGGCCAGCCTAGAGCCTGGAGCTGGGAGGGCGGGCTGCAGAGGCAGGAGAGCTGAGCTGCTCTATTCTGGGCACAGTTTCAAGGCCAGCTGCAGGGAGAACAAGCAGTCGCTGTGTGCCTGCAGCTGGCAGTGGTTAGGCCAGGGCTGACCCTCACTTGGGGTATATTTAAAGAGACCCCACCAGACGATCATGCCAACGGGAAAAATGCACACGTATTTCTGTTAGCCTCACTCAGTCTCCAGCCCAGCCCTCTCCTCCTTCGCTGCAGCTCCCAGGCAGTGGATTTACCTATCAACAGAGGACGGCTGGCTCCTCAGCTTCTCCCAGGTGTAGGTGGTACCACCTGGGGGACACATGCCCCTGGCTGCTGGGCCTCTCTGCCCTCTGACTCAGCTGGCCAAGAGTTCAGGGGATTAGCTAGGATCGGCTCCTCCCACCCTGGGGTTGGTAACCCAGCAACCGATGGGGAGAGGCAGGCAGATGAGTCAAATAAAAGCACAGAATCTCTGGCTTTGTGCTCTGTTTGTGAAAACTCCGTGTGAGCGCAGGCTCCCTTCCGGCTGGGAGTGGTGGGGCTTTCCCACACTGCTTCAGGCCAAATGCTCCCCCTCAAAAGGATGCCCAGGCCCCGCATGACTGCTAATGCAGGCTCAGGGACAAAGCCGGTGGGCCAGGAGGAGCCCATCCTGGCTGAACTCTTTGGCCTCTTTTACATGTTTTTCTCAAGTGAAAACAAGACCACAGGCCCGAATCCCACGGGAAGGTGGGGTTGGTGGCTGAGAACTATGGCCAGGGGAACTGATGGGCCTGAGGTCCCTCAGAGCAGAGAGAGAGCTGGTGCAAATAGAAGTGTGGGCTTTCAGGTCGCCAGTAGACCAGGGAGACCTTCTCATAGCAGCAAGAAGAGTTCACGAGACCAACCCAGCAGAAGTGGGGGGAGGGGGTGGGAAGTGAGCAGCTTATCAGCCAGGGAAGGGAAGCCGACAGGCAAACTGTCTGAGGCAGGCTGCTACAAGTGCGGGAAGAGTTAGTAAAACAGGAGTGCACCAACGGGATCAGCTGCATAATTTGAGGGGCTCAGTTTAAAATGAAAGTGCAGGGCCCTTTGTTAAAATATTATCAAGAATTTCAAGAGGATGACAGAAGAGCATTAAACTGAGGGCCCTCCTGAGCGACTGCACAGGTTGCATACCCATGAACTCGACCCGTGTACCTATGAGTTGGCTCCTTGAAGCAGCTGTGAAAGCAGAGGTGGGATGAGCTGGGGGATGTCTGGTCACCCCTGGCCTTAACTCCCATACCCCTCACCGTTGCTGCCATGTGGCCATCAGTTCCCAGGCTTTTACCCAGCTTGGGACATGGCCTCTACCCAACAGCAGCTCCTCTCTCTGTGCTGGCAGCAAGTAAGTCTTTGCCTCTCTGAAAAGAAGGAATTGTAGGGCCATGGCAGGGAGAGGGCTGAGGGCAGGAATGGACTGTGGCCCTGGGTCCTCTGGGCTTCTAGGCCCCAGAACTGCTAGCACTCCTTGGATGGGCCAAGAAAGGCAGGTCCAGCCATTGGAGCCTCCTCTGAGTGAGGATGTGGAGGTGTTTGGGAACAGACTGGAGGTAAAATAAATGGACTACACTCTGGATCACCTCTTAACAACCCAAGGGGACATGTCCTGAGGATGTATGTGACCGTCCAGGAGCAGAACCAAGGCCCGAAGCTTTCTCCCTACTTGGGAACTTACCTCCAACTCTATGTGGTCGTGGAGTTTCTTGCAGGTGGCTGCAAAGGTCTCCGAGGTGCCAAATTCAAAGTACCACAGCTTGTTCTTCATCCTGGACCGTGAAGCAGAGAGATGGCTCAGTATTCTGTATTTGAAATGGTCATGTAAATTAGCTATGCTATTGGGGCTGGGAGGCCCCAGTCCTCGGCATTCCCCAATCTTATGTTTTTAGCACTTGTTAATCAGATGATTAGGGATGGAAATTTTTAACCAATTGTTCTTGATATGAACTTAGAGAAAAATCCAGTCATTTCTTAGATATCATGGCTACTCTGGGTGAACTGCCAACCGCTCTCTGAACTTCTTGATCAGAGCAGAAGAAAGACCTGCTTGCCTCTGTATCTGGATCAAGGGAAGAATTCTGTGAAAATTAACCAGAGGTGGCAAGTGACAGCATGCTCTGGTCACTGTCCTTTCTACTCCTAATGCAGAGGGACTTCAGGAAGAGCCCTTTCATGGGTATAGCTGGGGTACAAAGGGAAGATCAGACAGCCTTTTGAGACTCGAGGGATGTACAGTCTTGGGACAGAAAAGGGGTAGCCCTACACTCCAGCCAAAATGCGTGCTACTTTGTCTGTGCTCTGACTGGGGGAAGCTGGGTGGAGAGAATTAGACACAGACTTGCAGGTAAGGTGGAAAGAGAAGAAAAAAAGTGAGTTGTTTGGTGGTAACAGTTCTCCCCACTGCTTTCTCAACTGTACTTGCTTAAGCCATGACAATCCTTCATTTAGGGGCAGACCTTATCGTATTTGCATCAAAGTAAGAGTTCACCATTTTGAGCTTAAAAATTTTTCCACATTTTCTTTAGTGGGAAAACAACCCAAACAATGGGGTTCCCATGTAGCTGGGGGCTTTGCAAGTCAGATGGTGTGTCCTGACTCTTGGTCATTTTGATCAGATGGTCTCACTAGGAAGGGTTTCTGAAGGTATTCCATTCCTTCCATCCCAACTGTCGTCCCATTATCAGGGGCTGGCTAAGAGAAGGGACACCTGTCCAGTTTATAAGCTGGCAGATTTTGCTAAGGCAAGATTAAACAAAACCACATTCTTCTTGGCACATTCTTCAGGAGAGAGGAAGCCACCTTGCATATGGCTGATCCTCCATCCTCAGATTTGTGGACTAAGAGGAAAGGAGCATTCTTCAGAGGGAAGAAGGCTCTCATTTCTTCCTAGTATTCCTTAGGCCATAGCAGATGACTCTTCAGAATAACAGACAGAATTTTCTCTCTGCGTTTCTCAAAGAGTCCACCTAGAATTTGAAGATGAGATTGCATTCTTCCATTGCATGAAGATTTCTAAGATCTGGTTGATTGGGACGTAGCCTTTCTGACTCTTAGTATGCAGGAAAAGCAATGATAAATGATGAAGGAAATAAAAAGGAGCAAGATTTAGGGAGTTACGTCTTATGAAGAAAGTTAGAGGAACTTGGTGTACTTAAGTAGATCGGTGCTTCTCAATCAGTGCGCTGCTGCACGGGTATGCCTGAGATACCAATCTCCTCAGCCTTCCGGGTGGCCAGGCTGAGCCCTGATACCGCAGCAGGCATTCTCATCTGTATGCCAGAGAAATGCTTTTGTTTTCTCTGCATGCCATGATGTGAAAAAATATTGCGGGGCCAGCTTGGTGGCATAGTGGTCAACTTTGCACGCTCTGCTTTGGCAGCCCAGGGTTCACAGGTTCAGATCTTGGGCACAGACCTAGCACCACTCATCAAGCCCTGCTGTGGCGGCATCCCACACACAAAATAGAGGAAGACTGGCACAGATGTTAGCTCGGGGGCAATCTTCCCCACCAATAAAAAAAAAAGAAAAAAAGGGAAACACTGTTCTAGATCACTGGTTTTCTGTATGCACAGCAATGTGAATACAAATCACCTGGGGATTTCTTTAAAATGCAAGTTCTGATTCAGTAGTTCAGGATTGGGGCCTAAGAATTCCTACATTTTCGGTTCTGAAACACTAGTATTGATAAGAATTACCTGGGGAATGTGGTTAAAATGCTGCTTCCTGGGCTCCAATCTGTAGAGAGTCTATGTGATAGCTGTGGGATGGGGCCCAGGAATATGCATTTTATGAGTGACTAGGTGATTATTATGCAGGCGGTCAGTTGTCAGGACTTTGAGAAACATTGCTCTAGATCCCAGTGAAATGATAACCAAGGAAGAGGACAGACCGATTAAACTTGAAAGAGGATTTCTCAGGGAGGATCACATGAGGGTCAGTGCCTTTCAACAGACATTGCTGGCAAAAGACCGGGTAACAGGAAGAACACAGATTGTCATAAATGTCAAGGTTGAGCATTCCTCCCTGGCAGGGAAAGGGTCTCTGCACCAGGAGACCCGCACTGTGATTCCATTTTCAAATATCACTGCTGGTCTGAATCATGACTTTTGAAAGTTACTGCCAGGAGATTTAGAGTTTTAATAAAAATTTCCGGAAGCCACAGGCTATTTTTGCCCAGAAGTAGCTCTTCTGATGATCTAATAAGGTTACGAGGTCATGGTTAGGTCAGTATCAGAGAACCACTGAGAGGATCAAACAGACTACTCGTCCATGACTGGTTAGATGTCCACTGCTGGCTGTGTAACCTTTGGCAAGTTTTTAAGCCTCAGTTTGCTCATCTGTGAAATGGAGATAATAAAAAGATATGCTTCAAAGTGTAGTTAAGAAGATTAAATGAGATGACTGCAAAGCACTTCACATAATGCTCGCTGCATAGTAAGTTCACCAAGAATGTTAGCTACTTACTTAATAGCTATTATTTCAATGTCTTGAGCTGGCATATTTGGATAACGTAGTAAGGCAAAAATGACAGATCAGGTTGGGTAGCCATAGATATTACATATTCAAATTTTTCTGGGGCAGAAAAATATGTGATCATATTTCTCAGATCGTGTGTCTTGACTTCTGGTTGAAAACACATGCTCCCTATATTTCTAATCTAATAGATTTTTCCAGAGTCACAGACCACAGCCTAATCTTTGGTTACTCTCTTGACTGGTCATACAATTGTCCAAAGATGTGATGTTGATTGCGAATATGCTTCTGAGAAAGTGCATGTTTGGTGTGAGAAGAAGTGTCAATTCAAGAAACATTCATTGTGCCAGGAATAGATGAGAGTGTACTAAGTATAGTGAAGAACAGAACGCAGCGCTCCATGAGCCAGGCACCTGTGCAGGACAAAGCACTGGGAGTATGTAGGGGGAGGGACATCCAATCCTTAGAGGGGCCGGGGCAGTTAAAGAAGCACCCAAGGCAGGCAATGCCAGGGTTGAGTTCTGAAGAATGTGAAAGGTAACAGAGCAGGTGGAAGAAGAGCATTCCAGGCAGAGGAAGAAGCCCAGGCAATGGCACAGGGCAAGAAAGACCATAAACCTGCTGGAGGGGACCTGGAGCTCAAGGGGGATGGAGATTGGCCAGGTAAGGCTGGAAGGAGAGGGTACAGACTGGAGGCCTGAAGAATAGTTTGGAGGTGGTGTGGAAATCCAAGAGAGAATTGGGAAGGGCCTGCATAAAGGTAGTGACAGTAGAGTCTGGGAAAAGAGAATGGATTCACAAGCTAAAATTTAGGAGGTGGAATTGACAGGGCTGGTTGGTTGCAACGAGTGAGTGACAAGGAGTAGACAAAGTGACACCCAGGTTTTTGTCTTAGATGGCATGACAGATGACAAGTGCCATTCACTGAGAGAGGGGCACAGGAGATCAATTATCCAGTGTCAGTCCTCTTTGTAACTGAAGGATAGCTCTTTTGTTTTTTGGCCCATCTGTCCATCCATCCACCCATCTATCATTCTGTCCATCCATCCATGCATCCATTCATCCATTCATCCATCCATAGAACACCTACTGAGTCCTTCTATGGGCTAGGCACTGCCTAGGGCCTAGAGATAAGTGATGAATAATAAAGGCAGGATTTCTGCCCTCACAAAGCTTACATACTTTTTATAAGCTTCACCAAGGCACTAACATTTGACCTCTGACCCACATGAGACTATGTGTTCAAAATCTAAGAGCTTTTATTTCTTCTCTCTCCTTTTTGGTTTTTGCAGGGAAAGATTCATCCTGAGCGAACATCTGTTGCCAATCCTCCTCTTTTTTGTTTTTTCTCCCCAAAGTCCCCCAGTGCATGGTGTATACCCTAGTTGTAAGTCCTTCTAGTTCTTCTATGTGAGCCACTACCACAGCATGGCTACCGACAGACGAATGGCAATGGTTCCACGACTAGGAAACGAACCTGGGCTGCCAAAGCAGTGAGAGTGCTAAACTTTAACCACTGGACCATCAGGGCTGGCTCTATTTCTTCTAACTCAAGCATGTTAGTTAGAAGTGAATACATTCTATTCCCATGGCCCTTTGGTTTTGCACTCTGCTAAATGTTTTGTATATATTATCTCCTCAATTCTCAGACAAACTCTATGAGGTAGGGGTACTGTTGCTACAAATAAGGAACCTAAGACCTGTGGAGGTTAAGTAACTTGCCTGAGATTGCAGAGCAAGTAAATGCAGAGGGGGCACCCAAAGCCAACTGTCTGACCTCAGTCTGTGCCCTGCTACCCCACCACCCTATCTTAGCATGCGTTTGCATATTTTGTGGTGAGTTGTTGTGTGCTCTTATTACACTTACTAGACTGCTGTGGTTCTCCTTTGCCAGGCTGTTAAATGGATGCACATGGAGGCCCAGGAGGTTAGTGGCTGCACGACATCCTAGGAAATGCCATCTGATGAAGAGTGTCAGGCCCTCCCAGCTCCTAATGGCCAGGGGAATTCTAGAGGAGTTTGAATCAGATTTGTCACAGAAACTCCGGTCTTGAATCTCCACAGTCTCAGAGATACAAGGAGACCAGAATTGACTCCTGGCAAAACCAGATGCTCCTAGATGCCCTGCACCTTTCTTTCTCTCAGCTCACCCAGAAATGGGGCAGAGACAGTGCCCTTGAACCATTCCCAACACAGAGTGGAACAGGGCAAGCTGGGAGACAAACACAAACTGCTCTTCAGGTACCTCCCACTTTGGGTTAACATGGGCCATTTTCAGCTATTCATAATAAGACAG